AAAAATACGTTACCTTTAGCATTCAGTCGTTGACAACGCTACGCACAGGAGGAAGCAGGCAGCTGGCCAAGCTGGAGCGCATCGGAGCTACTCATCCGATGGCAGGCCGGCATGATGGACTACGGCGTCTTCCGCGACAAGGAGCCCGGCGAGCGTGTCCTCGCGGCCTTCGACAGCCTCGAGTACGAGCTCCAGCCACCGCTGCTCGGCCAGATCCTGCACTGTTCGGCCGAGGTCGCGGCCGGCTGGTACCAGAAACCTACCGACTCCCAGTTCTGGAACGCTCAGCGCCAGCTCCGGCCGGGCTTTGCGGAGGAGGAAGAGGGCGCCGCCGACGACGACAACGACAACGTCCGGCCCGGGAGGAGCTCGGGCCAGGACCTGGCGCTCGGGGACTGGGTCGATGACGGGTACGGATGGAGTGACGAGGAGGTGCTTGAGGAAGGCGGCGGTGGGTGTGGAAATGGATATGGTGCGGAGGAGGCGTATGGTGGAGGTGGTGGTACGTCCGGCACGAGGGCTGTGGCTGGGTTTCTGCGTACTCCTGGCCGGGACGTGGAGATGGCTGATGCGGAAATCCAAGCGCGTATGCCCGGGTACAGACGGGACTTTGAGATGTCTGATACGGCGGATGGGCCCGGCAACCACTATGAAGACGAGTGTGTGAAGATCGAGGAGTACGACCTGGCTAGAAGAGAAAAGATGTCTCTTCGCGGTAGGTACTCCGGGCAGGGCTCTGTGAACAAGGGTGACGCGGCTGCGGCTGTTGAGGATATCTTGCCATTCCGGGGCTTGAAGAAGGCAAAGATCGTGCCGATGGTCTGGGGCGCCATCAGCCCACCGATCCTAGCTACGAATTACGTTGATTGAACACGGGCGAGGATGTCTCGGCGGATAATGGATCAAACCACAGGTGGGAAAGAACCGGCCGGAATTTGCATACGCCCGGATCCGGGTAAGGATCTGGGTTGAACGGACTGACTGACTCTGCGTTGGATTTCGCGACGAGCTTACAGAAGGTACAGAAACCTCGCTGTACGTCTCTTAGATTTCCCCCCTCCCCCAAAAAGAAAAAAAAAAAAAAAAAACAAAAAAAACTTACAATGAAAAGCCTGAGTTCAAAAGTCCTAGTTTCTCTCGGCGGTGACCCCCCGCCAGGATTTTCTCGCCCATCATCACGGTGTTCGGTAACCGAGAAAGAAAACACAATCGGTCAATCGACCATGGCACATTCACCCGCCTACTAGCGCAGGAGGCTAAACCACCAATATGCTTAATGGCTACTTTGTCAGTACCTGGGAGGCTCTAGCTAGCGAGCATCCGTTTCCTGTGAAAAAAATCCCCCCGAATTCTGAAGCTCTGACAATCATCACTCTTCCTGTAAACTACTACTATCTATTATAGTGCCGCCATCCCCGCCTTTCTCCCACCCTCTTTTGATGCCAGATCCAAATCCAAAATCAAATCGAGGAAGACTTCATGAAGTAGATAACAGCAAACAAAGCAAAACAAACAATACGCGAGAAATGTACTTTCTCCCATCCATGACGATATATACACATACATACATACATACATACATATCAGGTAGCGTCAGGTACAACCGGGGAAGCATAAAATCCTCGAAATGAAAAACGTGGAAAGAGGAAAGACCTCGACACTGATTTTCGGTATTGGAATCGATATACTGCGTTCAATTTCCGATCTCCTTTGAATGACTCCTTTCAAGTCGTCCGGTGTCGAGGGGCCATGCAAGTCATTGTAATCTTCGCAATGCCGAGGCGATCATTTCGTCCTACCTGTTAATTCTAATGCGGAATAGTTTATCCCGAGTGTAATTTAGCCAAGTGAAATAATATGAAGTGAGGCGAGCATATCAAAAAAGTAAGTACGGGGTTTGATTTTCGTTGCGTTCTCGAAAAGTAAGGTTTTTCGGATAGAGTCTAACGTTTGCTACGAGAGGTCTGCGTGTCGGGGGGTGTAGGGGGGGGGGGGGGGGGAAAGGGGTTGATAGAGACTTGATATTTGATATTGAAATTGTTGATCACTAGAAACTGAAACTGCTCTTGTGCAATGGCTAGTTTCGCAAGGACTTTCGAGGTTTTATTTCAAGGTTTCAATATCTAAACCTCTTTACTATTGATTCGGTCAATTAGAAACCGAAAACACCCTCGGAACTTCAAGCCGGACTTGAGAGAGTTACCGATACGAGGAGAAAGGGAATGAGGAATGGGAATAGGGATAGTGAAGTACCTAGTCTTGGAGCATCCGCTGCCGCTATCTCTGCTAGACAGATAGATGTAGATATAGATGTAGATATAGCAGCGGATATCATAAAATGTGTGTGTTGATCCTGCAGCATTGAGAGACTTTTTCTTTCTCCCTCTCCCCCTATCCCTCTCCCTTTATCCAGATCGCCCTCCTATCTGGGGCCCCCCTCCCTAGACCTGCCTCTTCCAGAACAAGGATCACGTGGGCTCAGTAGCTATCCAGCGCTGCATTCCACTCCCACAAAAGACAATCAGCGAGCTGCGATGCCTCTTTTGGTGTCAGAATATATACATATCGACCACCCCCATAGTGCATCATTCCGGCCTACTGGCAAACGTCTCGATCATATATTCAGCTTGTGGATACAGTCATAAACTTTTATTTCGCACCAGAACTCTTTAAATCAGCCTAAACTATCTACAACCATAAGCTTTCAAAGGGTAAATAACAACTGCAAAACCTTTGAGTCGTAATCCAAAGCTTATAACCATGACGCAAGTTTTATCTTATGTTTGTTGTTTATTAGAGTTGACTAAAGCACAACATATAGACTTTCGCTTAAATTGAAAAAAATCTTAAACAAACGGAGCCGCAGCAACCCAATGCAAAATAAGCATGTCAACGAGAGGTAGCTAATATAGTTGCGGCACATTCTCTGCTTTCAAAAAAATTGGCTGAGTAAGTGGTTCCACCATGAATCAAGGCACTGGAGAAATCGAGGGAGCAGCTCGCTTAGCACTGTACCTTCACTTGACACTTTCACGACCCGGACTCTCCGCACATCTTTGCGGATTGCTTCAATACCAAGCTCAGTATCCTGAGTTGAATAGCCAATCCACAGTTAGGAAAGTACATCCCGTGAATCGTTTGCTGATATCGACAACATCATCGCTTACCCAGCAGTTCTTCATATATAGTTCGTTCGCTACGAACAGCAGCACCCACGGGAAGATCCTCGTATACAAACGCCATGGATTGAGAGAACAGGTGGAAGCCTATGGCCGTCGGTCTCTACCATAGAAATTTCTTGCTGGGAGTTGCGGGTGTTCTTCGCGGCTCTGATCCGTCTACGTTAAATGCGTTGGAGAATATCGACACGTGGCCCTCCTTGCCTGCTGTAGCTACGGATTACAGCGCATTCCTCGCAACATGTGCCGTAGGAGAAATCGAGAGAGTGTACGGTACCCCCGAGAATATCATGTGACCAGAGCAACGACTCCGCTTAAATATATATATATATATATATTATATACACGTACATCTAGACCCCCCAACAGAAATGTCCGAGTCGTATCACAGCAGAAGAAAGCCCAGAGCTCCCAGCTTCAAGCTGCAGGATCGATGGATCTCATCGAACGAGAGGCAGTTGGCTGTCTGGTATCAAAAGCAGGCCTTGTCTCAAAGTACATCTATCCCTTGACAGGCGGAAAAGAGGTCAGGCTCACCCAGCATCACATTCCGCGCCTCCAGGTTCGAATGCGCCAAGGATCCGCAACGTTCCTGGGTCGTCGCTCGATCGAGATTCGAGACCTTTCTCAGCTCTGGCCCGCCGCTACTGATGACCTTAAGCTCAAGCTTGTATCAATTTCCTTTTTTCCCGGTGGCTTCAATCATTGGAATTGGCCGCACTCTACTTCGTACCCCTCATCGAAGCCATCGCGGGAGTCTGGACAGATGCTATTCTACAAAAGGCGTAGCGAGACTGTCGACTCCAGCTGTTGGGGTGCCAGCTTCTCCAGATCTGCAGTCGGGAGCAGATGACATCCCGGCTAGTCCATTTGTTTACTTTCCTCTTACGCTATGTTTGTCATTCGGATACATTCCAAGTCTAAAGCAATTTCCTTTGGGGATTTTCTTCTTGCTGGGAAGAGAAGAGCTACGCGAAGCTTGACGCTGGGGGATTTGTGTAGTGAGAAGCTCGACTCGGCCATGCAGCCATGTTAAGAACTCCATTCTCCCCAGATCCCCCCATCTCTCTCCAGCATCGCTCCCCCTCGCCCAGCAGTCTTTACAGTCTCTCACTCAAGCCACTCTTTTGCCGTTCTGACCCTTGACAACCAGAGAACCCATCCACCATGAAGTACGCATCCTCCTCGATCGCTGCTCTCCTTGCAGCAGCTGCGTCCGCCAACCCAGTCATCTCTCGTCGTCAAGCCGCTGCCGCTGCCGCTGCCGTCACCGATGTTGGTATCCTCAATTATGCCCTGACTCTCGAGCACCTGGAGGACAAGTTCTACCGCGAGGGTCTCGCCAACTACACCCAGGCCGACTTTGTGGCAGCCGGTTTCCCCGACCCGTTCTACGCCAACTTGCAGGAGATCTCCTACGATGAGACCACCCACGTCTCCTTCCTTACAACCGCTCTCGGTAATGCCGCGGTCGCCGAGTGCAAATACTCTTTCCCCAGCACGGACCCAGCATCGTTCGTTGCCCTCGCTTCGGTGCTGGAGGGAGTGGGAGTCAGCGCATACCTCGGTGCCGCAGCCAGCATCATGAACAAAGACTGTGAGACCCATGAACCGGCCTTCCCTTGGAGACCGTAACATAACATAGCATAAATCACTTACACCCCACCCCCAGACCTCACCGCAGCCGGCTCCATCCTAACCGTCGAAGCCCGCCACAGTGCCTACATCCGCTCAAGCGACGACGCGTCCCCCTTCCCCCAACCCTTCGACGCCCCCCTCACCTTCAACGAGGTCTACACCCTCGCCGCCGGCTTCATCGTCTCCTGCCCAGCCGCCAACGCCCAGAAGCCCCAGCTCCCGCTGAAGGCCTTCCCCACGCTCGCGCTCGGCACGGCCGGCCCCATCCAGAGCGGCGACGACATCGAGCTCCTGACCCCCGGCTACACGCTCGCGGCCAAGGACGGCCAGGCCCCGATCTACGCCGCCTTCGCCTCCGTCACGGGTCCCATCTACGCCGATGCCGTGCCCATCGATGGCGGTTTCACCGTCACCGTACCGGAGGGCATCAACGGACAGTCGTATGTCGTGCTTACCGGGTGCGCGGATGCCGTTAATGATGACACGGTCGCGGCCGGTCCGGCCATCGTGGAGATCACCAACCCGTACCCAACCACCGCATAAAATCTTTGACTGCTGCTTCTGCGCAGGAAGAGGGGCGACGGGGACGACGACGACGCGGTTCACGAGGCTGTGTAGTCTCGCACCGGTAATTCGGACTGGCTCCGTGTATGTGTACATGTGATGGGGCATCTGGACGTACCGCGGCACGATGTGAATCTTGGCCTTCATGTATATAGTTAAACCCACGAAGGCAAAAACCCGAGGCCTCAATCCGATGCATTTCCAACGCACGCGCAGCGGAAATGGAATTAATGTTTAAATCAAAGTAACCCAACCGGGCCGTCCTACCTCTCTCCTCTTCTACTCTTTGGGCGCGGTGGTGACGCGCTGGACTACAGCTTCCCATGATGGACCGGGCATATTTACTAGCAGCCATGCCATGCCATGCCACCCTCCTCATCAATACCCAACCCGTCAAGCCGAACTGCGCAAAATTATAAAGAAACAAGAATGGAATGAAAGAAAGCATGCATCACGAGCAGAGAGAGAGAGATAAAAGGTTTTCAAACCCAGCAAACCCCAGACATCTGAAACCCCCAAGAAAAGCCCAAGAAGAACCACAAGAAAACCCACAAGAAGAGCCCAAGAAAGCCCACCTCCCCCCCCAACTAAATGCCAACTCCCCCTTTCCGCATGGCAAACTCAACATGCGGCTGATGGTACCTGCCCCAATCCCCCAGGTCCATCCTGTACTCCCGTTCCACGACCCAGCCGAACTTCTCGTACAAGTTCCTCCCCTTCACGGACGAACGCATGCAGATCGTGGCGTCTGCCCTGCCTCGGTCTCCGAGGTCGTCCAGGAAGGCCTGGAGGAGGAGCGTTCCGATGCCTTGACGCTGGTATCGCGGCGCGACGGCGAATTTTTCGATTCCTTTCCATTTGGGTGCACAGTTAGCTGGGAGTGAGTGTGTGGATGAATGGATGAATGGTTGAATGGTTGAATGGATGAATGGATGAATGGTTGAATCGATTGAATGATGAGTGTTTGAACGGATGAATGGATGAACGGATGAATGGATGGATGAATGCACGCATGCATCCGTCACCTAGTAGCCAGCCGAGCTAATCCCATAATAATAACAAAAACAATCCTCTTTCCCAGCAGAAGAGCCCCCCCTCCTACTCCTAACGACAGATAAAACGGAAACGATATCGTGGTATAAATGTAAGAAGTAAACAGAAAACTCGAAAATACCAACAGCAAGCAAGCAAGCGAGTAAAAAATGAGTCAATCAACACGTACCAATCACCGCACTTGACTCATCGCGAGCGCCGCCGCCGCCGCCGCCCTCCGCTCCCGCACCCATAACCGCCGCATACCTCCTCCACAGCTTCCGATCAGCCCCAGCCGGGAGTCGGGCCTGCCAATCCCACTCCTCTTCCTCCTCCTCCCCACTCCCACTCCCACTCCCACTCCCACTCCCACTCCCACCCCCGGCCTCTCCATCCTCCGCATTCCCCTCCACACCCCCCACCGCATTCTCCTTCCACACCAAAAAGCCCACAACTTCACCAGCCACCTCCCGCTCCTCGCTCGCAAAAACGTCAATCCCCGAGTCAGGGCTGCATGACAGCTGCTGCTGCTGCTGGGTCGTCATCGCCGTCGTCGTCGTCGTCGCGACGAGAAACCCGTAGGTCCGGGGCCGGGCGAAGCAGTGCTCGAGATGGGCGAGGAAGAGCTTGGTGGCTTGGAAAGGGTAGGTGAAGGGGGAGAGGGAGATGAGCGGGTGGGATGCGCTGGCAGCGAGGTCGAGACGGGTGAGGTGCGGGAGGTCCGAGGCGAGGGCTGTGCGGAGGGTGATTGGGGGGGGCGTGGGGGGCCGCATGGCGAATGGGATGTTTATGTCTGGAGAGGGAGGGCAGGGCGGGACATGTTTTATGATGGAGTGGAAAAGGAAGGGGAGGGAAGTGGTATGATATGGTATGGTGTGGTGTGGTGTTGTGGTTTTATACATAGACGTTGGGGTTTTGTTGAGGAGGAGCTTAATATAAGCGAGGGGGTTTGAGGCGACAGCCAGAGAGAGGCACGTGTAGGGATCACTATATATAGGAGGATCGGAGGATGGGAGAGACAGGTAGGCAGGTAGTTATAGAGACTGGATACCCATGATCATGATCGGGATCGTGATCAGATGCTGCTGCTGCTGTGATTCTGCCAGCGTGTACGTACCACCCCCGCCCATTCAAGAAAACCAATTTTAGTCCTGTAGATTAGAGTATTCGGAGCCAGCTCATCACGGAACCAGATGTCGCTCTGGAAACGCCCCGCCGAATATCTTCCAAATCCGAGCTGAAATGTACCGAGCTGGACTGCGTAGTAATAGTGTCACGTGGATACCTGCTCTTTGGCTTCCCTCTTCATGTTGTAATTTACGATGGGTTCTGCTCTTCCATACTTGGTCACGTCAACTGACCAGATACTCTGGTCCACCCAGCCAAATTTCGCGTACAGACCACGGCCTCGGGGCGAGGCTCGCACGAACGTGGTCCCGTTGGCGGCGTCGACTTCTTCGACCCATCGTGTGAGCAGCAGAGAACCGATACCGCGACGTTGGTAGGCAGGCGATGTCTGTAGAGATTCGAGCTCTACGGGATATTAGCTGCCGCGCCAGCTTTTCATGAGCCAGAGAGAGAGAGAGAAAGAGAGAGGGCAAAATACCCCACATATCATCCCTAAACCACATCTTCTTATCCTCGGCCGACAACCCAAAAAACCAGATAAACAATTCCCTCGCGCGCTCATCCTCGGGAATGGCAGGCTTAAAGTCTACCACCTCCTCGCCTCCCTTCTTTGGGTATGCGCCAACGAGAAATCCGACGATTTCTTCTCTGCCTCTCCCTCCTGGCTCTTCCATACTCGTGGTAGCGAGCAAGAATCGGTATCGAGAAGGCCTAGATAAGTAGTGCGTGTAACGGGACGTAAAGAGAGCTTCTAGCTCCGCCGGGGGAAGCAAGTTCATGGTGATCAGAGCGGAAGTTTCGCGGTTGGCGACCATGTCGATAGATACGACTGAAGGCATGTCGGAGTGGACTGCCGTGCGGATTGTGAATGCCATGCTATTTTTGTTCATGGGAATCGTGAGTGGTGTCTGCTTGGAAACGACAGGGCGAGGTCAGTATGGGAAAATGACCCCGAAAGGCAGGACATCTTATAAACAGTAGTCGATCGAGTACGCGGCTGGTAAGCACTGCTAGCCAACCTAGCAAGTTGGAGCTGGATATGGATACCTATAATGAATCTCACCGTATCTATGCCCACTCAAATTCGAAAGATGCGACGCCTCCACGCGAGGGCTAGAAGTCATAAATAGGCAGCAGCCAAAGGAATTCCAGGGTGCCAAGAAAGCAGAGACTTTGCCACGAACTTGCATCCGCCCGATGTGGTGCTTACGCACATGATAAGAAGAAGAAAAAAAAAATGCAAACCTCAAAGCTTTTAGGATGGCGAATGAAACCGGGCTGGAAGTTTTCCACTGGGAGGTGGTGCAGCTGGAAAAACGAGTACCAAGATATTGAGAAAAGAAACAGACGGAAATTGTACAGCATAAAAAGGGTTGGAAAATAATGCCTCGTGGACCAAGACTGGGTCTAGCATGTCCCGTTGCTCAAGCCTCTATTTCACGACAATCGATTTACTTCCGGTAGAACATTGCCAAACTCGACGTGGCGACCTCAGTACCAAAATCGAGGCTGTCACGAAGCCCATACAAAGGGGCATGACTGGAATGTACTGGGCGATGTGCAGTCAACCAAGACGGCCCTCTCCGTACATGAAATGGCCATCTTCGCTCTGTGCTATAAAGCAGATGCTCTGTCTCAGCTGAGCGACCATGTCCCGCTAGACACCATTTCACGATTCGTGATGATCGTCAATTGCACCCCCGGGTATTGTTCTAAAATTGACCCTCGGTATTCCCGTCCCCCATACTCTTACTGCTGCTGCTACCGCTTTGGATAGAGCCCAGAATCCCATCAATATACGATGCACCACTCCACTTCTGGTGGGTCAGGACATCAACACCAAGTTCCTTCTCTCGCTTCTGCACTAGGTTGACATATGCCAGCATACCCTCGTCCTTGAACGCCTTGCTCAGTTCATTCGAGATGGTAGCCGTGCTGTGTAGACCGGCCAAGGAGATGAGCTGGAGGACGAAGCCATGCTTCGCAATATCCCAGATGAAGGACTTCAACGTTTCGTTGGAGAACCCGTGACTCATCCAGTTGAAGGATGGCGACAAGTTGTACACGAGTCCCTTTCCAGGATACCTGGCACGAATTTCACCAGAGAACTGAGCTGCGTTGCGAACGTTTGGATCGCCAGTCTCAACCCATAACAAATCCGCGTACGGTGCGTACTCGATGGCACGCTTCGTAGCAGCCTTCATCCCAGCACGGTAATGGTAGAAACCTTCTCTGGTTCTTGGGATGTCGATGTTGAAGTAAATCGGCTCATCTGTAAATTGCGATGCAAGCTGTTTCCTCTTGTTGATCGACATGTCCCGATTCTCCGAGGTCGTTTTGAGGTACGTGTTGATGTCTTCATTGGACACCCCGCGAGCCTCGAATTGCTTGACAACAGCCTCGTCGCACGTCACGAGCTTGGTACCTTTCACCCAGTCAGCTTCAAAGGCATCGATTTCCGCTCCTGAAGCCCCGGCCAGTTCCATTCCTTGTAAAGTCTCTGCCAGTGGCTCGATGCCGTCTTCTGCTACCCCGAGAATGAACTCATGATCGCGAACATCAATGGCACTACTGAGCAGCTTGCCACTCTCCGAATCTGTCCTTGCAATCACCAGATTCTCCGAACCCATAACATCCCATTGAAAACGTGCAGCCACGAGTCGGTTGATATGTTCGCCTACGGGTACCAGGACCTTGCCAGCAAGATGTCCGCACTTCTTCCCACCATGCATCTGATCCTCGAAATGCACGGCAGCGGCACCATTTTCGGCAAAGAGCTTGGCCAGCTTCAATACTGCTGATAGTCCACCATGCCCCGTATCGCCGTCTGCAATAATCGGCCGCAAATAATCGATATATGGTGTCTTTGCTCGCTCTTCCGGGCTCAGCTTCCTCCGTGCATCCCAGTGTTTCCTGTCGTGCATCGACTGGGCTTTCGCAAGTCGCTGTACTTGGTTCGGCACCGTATTGTACGGATAGTCGCCAAAATCCGGGGAAACTTCATTCGTCGTAGTGAGGACGGATGAGCAAGCCCAGCCAGAAACGTATAAAACTTCTTGGTTCGGGGCCTGTTGGGTCATCTGAATAGGATCAATTGCGCCCACTGCTGATGGTCAATAAAGCGCAACTAGAATGACTGGTAGACATACTTGTATGTATGGGCTCCCCCTTGGCTTCCCGCTCCCTTATCAGATTGAACAGCTTCCTCGCCATGACCGAGCTTGGGTATGATTGCAGCTGGCTTCCACGCTTCGAAACGACATCTGCCGGCGAATACGGCCTTTTGATTCCCTCATATCTCGGACTCGCCCACCATGCCTCCACATCCTTCAGTTGCTGTTCGTATAGGGCATCCTCGGCCGCGCCAGCCTTCTGCGACTCAGCCAGGAGCTGGAATGAGTCGGATGGAAGCGTGGCAGATACGAGATTATCGAGGGGCTTCAAGGCAGCCATCCTCTGAGGTAGTATCGAGAAGTTGCGGACACAATTGTTCCTCGATCTCGCCGGCCCCACTCGTCGAACAGCTGTTGATGCCACTCTACGTAGCATCTTGACAGGACTGTTGGCAGGTAAAGAGGGAGAGGAGACCATGCAGCACAAGGAGATATACCGCTACCGCAACTCCTACCTGTCTTCGCTGATCAATCAAGCAGATGGCAAAGCTTTTGGTCTGTCATCGGACGTGGACGGTGCTTTGCGGTTCTATGCGAGCGCATAACCTACCATCGGAGATCATTTGACTACGCTAATCATCGTCAATACATACAGAGTCATTGATAATTGTTTTAGAAATGATTACTTTGCAACTACCGATAGATCTCATACTACTGCATTATTGCTTTGTGCGTGATATGATTCTCTAAAAGATTGATCGCATGAGCGCAAAGATACAATTTATTTCATACTGTACTCCGTACAACTACTTGTATTATCTACTTTTTCCGATAACCATTGCTGGCATGTTTACGACTCTTTTCCCCGCATTCTTCCGCACTTTACCCTTGGCGGGGAATAACTTCGGCGGTACGAATCATGGTGTGTGACATTCTTGACTCGCGCGCACGGCCCGACGTTTTTCAAGAGGGCAAGAATACAAGTAGCAATGAAGAGAAGATTTATTACGTAAAACGCTTAATCGTCGGTTTCACAGTCGGGCTTGCTTTTGGTGGGTGGGTAGGTGGGCGTATGTGGGGGGAGGCGAAACCGACGCTGAGCGCTCGAATAAATCTTCTGAAAGCCAGGAGAATCGTGACCATTACCGCCACCACGCTATCCTCACTAACCCCCACCGCCACAATTCCCATTTCACCAAAAGATTGAACAAACCACCGCAGGTGATAATTCTCATAATAGGCTTTTACATCAAGATAAAGCTCAAGGTGCGGTACCGTACGTTGGAAAGTTTACCGTGCACTTGTGGTCATTCGAGCCTAAATAATCGGTCATTGAGCTGTCACTCAATACCTACCGGTAGCTACTACGTACCTATATGCTTCGGCAAAGCTAATGCCCGGTCAATGCCGAGGCAGCGTGGAAGCTGCAGTACGAGCACGATGATCTCTCAACTTTTCCCTTAGGCCGACCACCGCAGATCTCTGGAATCCGATTAAAAAAAATAAAACATTGCGAATACTTGCGCATTGGCTACCTGCGAAGAAATCAAGAAGAGTCTCTCCCCTCTATTGCATTTCTTCTCTATCACAAGTTTCAGTTCATCTGAATTTACCCCTCAATCCCCCGCACTTCAACAATGGCTATCAATGTGCGAACAGCTTCGTCCGCGTTGAAAGCATTCAGAGTATGCTCCCCTCTAGCAAGCCATATTTACATTGTATATTCGCTAATCAATTGATAGCCGAGTGCTGTTCGGCCTGCCGTTGTCCCTGCCTACCGGAACTATGCCTCCTCTTCTGAGCCGGATCTCAAGACCACTTTCAAGGAAGCGATCCCAGCTAAGAGAGAGCTATTGAAGAAGGTCAAGGCTTTGGGAGGTAAGGTCATTGGAGATGTCAAGGTCGAGAACACCATCGGAGGCATGAGGTAGGCGAAACAGGGTAGACGATGTTCTGCAACGTCAAATTGACTACTATACAGAGGCTTGAAGGCCATGGTATGGGAAGGGTCAGTCCTTGATGCCAATGAGGGCATTCGCTTCCATGGACGTACGATTAAGGACTGCCAAAAGGAGCTTCCCAAAGGTACCACTGGTACAGAAATGTTGCCAGAGGCTATGTTTTGGTTGCTCTTGACCGGCCAGGTCCCGTCCACATCTCAAGTCCGAACATTCTCTCGCGAGCTTGCAGAGAAGTCCGAGCTTCCAGCCTTCGTCAACAAGCTACTCGACAACTTCCCTACCGATCTGCATCCCGTGACCCAGTTTGCCATTGCCGTCTCGGCCCTCTCTCATACCTCCAAGTTCGCCAAGGCTTACGAGGCAGGTATCAACAAGGCCGATTACTGGGAGCCTACCTTCGACGACAGTATCTCTCTTCTGGCCAAGCTTCCAACAATTGCTGCCAAGATCTACCAGAATTCGTATCGAGGTGGAGGTGCCCTCCCCGCCAAGGCTGACTTGGATCAAGATTGGTCCTACAACTTCGCTGCCATGTTGGGCAAGGGAGGAAAGGAGAACGAGAACTTCCAGGATCTCCTCAGACTCTACTTTGCTCTTCACGGTGACCACGAGGGTGGTAATGTCTCTGCCCATACCACCCACTTGGTAGGTAGCGCATTGAGTGATCCATTCCTGAGTTACAGCGCAGGTCTCCAGGGTCTGGCTGGACCTCTTCACGGGTAGGTCATTTTGACTCTTTTGGCGACCCTCCGCTGAACATAGATAGTCTCGCCGCCCAAGAAGTCCTGAGATGGATCCTCCAAATGCAAGAGCATGTGGGCACCGACTTCAGCGACAAGGACGTCTCCGACTACCTCTGGACCACTCTCAAGTCCGGGCGAGTCGTGCCCGGCTACGGCCATGCCGTCCTCCGCAAGCCCGATCCTCGCTTCGAGGCCCTCATGGCCTACGCATCCTCTCGACCCGAAATCGCCAAGGACCCCGTCTTCCAACTGGTGAAGAAGACCTCCGAGATCGCCCCCGGGGTGTTGACGGAGCACGGGAAGACCAAGAACCCATACCCCAACGTCGATTCCAGCTCGGGCGTCCTCTTCCACCACTACGGTTTCCACGAGACCCTGTACTACACGGCGACGTTCGGCGTCAGCAGAGGTCTGGGACCACTGGCTCAACTTATCTGGGACCGAGCGCTTGGTCTCCCCATAGAGCGACCCAAGAGTATCAATTTGGAGGGTCTGCTGAAGATTGCTGAGAGTTCATGAGAGTAGAGGAGTTTGATGGCGCTTTCTTACATTTCATCAACGATTACGAGTTTTAGACTGCAATATGAATTATATCATTGGAATTGACTCAATTATATATGTGTTGCTTAAAGGGCTTTAAATTGTCAGTGTTTGTGCTCTCAAAGGGGTTAGCGGGCTACAACCTTCAATGCCTTGAGAGGCGTGTCGGAATGTTACATGATAAAGGTCTTTGATTAGATTGGGCTATGTTACAGTGGTAATCTCCCAGAGCCATGTGGTCCTTAGCACCTCGTATTTCTGATGGACAAATATCTACCTATGTGATGGGTATATATATATATATACATACTACCCGATGGATTAACCGGGTGAATACATACTCACACTCAACAAGCCCCGAATCTTCAAATATCTCCACCAGTCCCTGCGCCGCGTATTGTATCCGGCGTCATCTGAATCCTGCAACCACCATGCCCGGCTATCTGATCGCCGATAAAACCGAACCACAAAGCTCCCAAGCCAACAATCAAGTTTCGAAAGCCCGATGCTTCCAGGAGCGTACGAGCAGTTTGCAGATGCCGTTGTGATGCGTCCAGTTGGCCACAGCGCATCTCGAGAGCAGCAATCGAGTAATGGCAGATCCCTTCCATGTAGCCCGGCTTCCTCCAAGCGCAGCGATCCACAGCCTCGAGAACATGGATCCACTTCTCGCGTGCCTGGTTCACGTGATCTTCGCCGTTGCAAGAAATGGTTTCGAGCGTGGAGATCCGCGCCAGGACGGATGCGACCCGGAGGGGTGCTACTCTTTCGACCTGGGCGACCCGGTCTCTTTCTTGGGCTGTGGCTGGGTGAGATCCCGCGCTCGGCTCCTGCTGGGCGAGCACGATCTTTTTCACAGAGGAGTCTGGCTTCGGTGAGGGAGGTGGGAGACGGGCGGGAGTTGGAGAGGCGGCAGGCCTCCATGCCGACGTGGAGGTGTGCCTCTGCTAGCAAGACGTTCATCCGCCGGCTCTGCGTCTTCGGATGCCGCGCTGGTGCCTCGGCGAGCCGTAATGCTTCTGTGGGATTCCGGAGCTCGCAGTTGACACCGACGAGAAGGTAGATTAGAGAGTCGTGGAGCTCTGCACCCGGGGGGAAAAGACTGCAGCTCTTGTTTGGGAAGGGACTCGACATGCACGAAATCCCCGGCTAGATATCGGATCCTGGTGCGATGAGAGCGTATGCGTTTGTGAACACACTTCTCCAGGGTTGAAGCCTGGCTTGGGCCAAACGAGACGAAGTGGGAGATTTCTTGCTGTGCTCCAGTGAAGTCATCGTCTTCGACGTAATCTTGCGCTTTGGATAAGCGCAGATCCCAAAGAAGGGCATTTGATTGTGCAGTCAGAGGAATGCCCGAGAGGACCGGCTCGTGGTATATCTTGCCAGTGATGAGGCGAGATAACGCCTTTCTCCGGATGATGGCTGATATGTGCAATATGTGATTCGGGTGAGAGGCTAGAATTTTCTCTGCTATATCGACAGCTTTGAATCTCCAATCGTGCCCCTTGGAAGAAGCGTCGGCTAGCTTCGACGACTCCAAAAGTACATCAGCAAAATCCAATTGCTGTTGGCTTGATAGTAGACGACGCTCAACGAGGTCCACGACGAACTCCGTAACATGTTGGATCACTCGCAGGTGCAGCCTGCGCAGGGTTTGAGAGCTGTGCCAAAGTAAGTAGAGTATTGGCACATTAGTGGAGGCTTATGCGTACCAAGGTTCCAGATCTTTATCACCAGGGAAAGATTGGCACAGGTATGTCAAAGCCCGAACCCGATCCGCATCAGTGATTGTACCTCTCAAGCCTTCTTGTACACTCGGTGGGAGACTGATTGTCTCCTGGCCGTCACGGGTCCCCGGGCGAAGGAGACCTTGAGACCTGAGCCATTCGCGTCAACAGAAACTCGAGAGAAGTGGGAGACGGTTTCCTGGTCCAACGCGGCCTCCTCGATCTCCCCTTGTATATTCCAGCGTTTCTGAGGCTGTGCCACGCGATGAAGCATCAGGGTCGGTATATCCTGTCCACCCCATATGTGTATGAGCGAGAGCAAGAGCATCGAGACAGGATGTTCAGGGCTTGCCGAACTCTTCTTCGAATAGGCTGCAAATCCCCGAAGAGAGCTTCTGATACTAATGCGCTGTCGTCGTTGTATTCGAACTCCAGTGCTGGGAATCCTCCAGAAGAGAACTGCAGAGGTATATTGCTGCGATGCGTGCGAAAATATTTCATGTCGCAGCTCCCACTTGCCATGTCGCTTGCTCAGCGTACCTACCTCTGCACGTACTGCTTGGCGTGCTTACAGCAGCGTCATTCTGTATTCTAAATATATGTATATATAAGTAGTACTGAGGGGAGTGCGAATACAAATGAAGTTTGCTATCTCGTTTATATAACGGAATATTGTTATTGTTCTGATACTAGAAATCCAAATTCCTCCAGGCTAGGTATCCGGATACCTCTTCTGCTTCCGCTCCAAGTTCTGTAATCTATATAACCTTCATCAGAAAATGAGGCTAGGAAGCTGCTGTCAAATGCGTTTTGCGCCAGAATCAGCTTTTGAGTATTACACTGGACACGGAGAGTCGAACAAGAGATTAAGACGATCGTCGCACCGACTTCTACTTGCTCCTACCCATAGCCTCTAAGCACTTACGGATGCAAATGTGCTTGACGGTATCTGGCACTTTTCTCTTACACTTTTGCGATTTAAAGAAGCCATGCGAAATAAATCCATACTAAAAGCTACGCAAATGAGCAATTTGATTGTTTCTTTAACATAACAAGAATATGTTCTTGCAGATAAGTCCTAGGGCTATCCTATCAAGAAGGATCAGTTGGCATAAACAGCGTAGATCGAGTACGCGACTCAAGTTTCATCTAACTTCATGAACATGAACCCGCTCATTATACTCGGATCGCGATCAGCAGCTGCCAGATACGATTTTATTGTCCAATTCCATCGACCCCTGCTTCGATAGGCGATCCAAAATTCCGACGCGCCGCGCGACGCGAATCTAGCTATCTGATAAAAGGGATACAAGCGCTTCATGACAGCATCTAGCGGTTCTCGAAGCTTCTCCTTTAACTTTGCAGCATACGCTCCAGATTACGGTCTATTCTGTCGATATCCACTCCTCCAATACATATTTACTCTTTTAGCGAGCCCTTTAATCTAGCGAGAACTAACCGCGGCTGTGGTGCTTTTTTGGAGAATGACTGCTTACTTTGGACTCTCCATGTACTTTCCTGCCACAAATTTGAAGCAGAGGGGCCGATAGACACGGAATAGCCGAACTCAGTACCGAATTCAGTACCAAGTTAGCTAGTGAAGGTGAAGTTAGCAAGTACAGCGTGTACATTTGATTGTCGCCGAATCGAATGCGCGCTAACAAAGCCCAAGCTATTTCTATTACTTATTCACTTATTCACCAGGAAAGCAACCTTCAGTGCAGAGTCTCAAACCATTTCTCCCGCAGCCATAAAGTATCGCCCACCTCTGGAACTGATCTACCTTTCCCTCTCCAAAACACGACAACTCAATATCCATCAACCTCTCCAACGGCCAACAACCAACCATCACACAGCACCAATATGTGTAAGATAGATACAACCTGCCTCATACAGCTTGATCCACCCACCTGCTGACCAAAGACCCCATAGCTTTCACAAACGAACAAACTTCACCAAAGGCCGATCCCAGCTCCGCAGCCCCATCTCGCTCCCAACAACTGAACGCCTTCCTCTTCCAGCTCGCCAGCGCCTACGCAAGCAAAGATCCCGTAAGTACACCCGACTACTTCTTCCTGCTCCCCATCTCACCTCATCCCATCCCATCTCACACCCCTCCCCATACACAACATTCCAAGCCCGATCAACCACCCCCCTGCTGGCCCACGCCCACGCCCTCCAAACCCCCACCACCCGATCCCACTAACCGCTTCCCGCCACAGACCACAATCCAAGCCGCGCAAGCCCTCCTCTTCGGCGGCCTCCAGATCGAAACGAAGATCAGCGAGCAGCGCATCGCCGTCCAGGATTACGCCGCCTTCGCCGAGCTCTTCAACAAGATGTTCGCCGTCACGGCCGTCATCAACAAGAGAAAGACGGAGATCGTGTCGTCCGCGGAACTGAAGATGCCGGCCATGGCCGGATACTGCAGCGGCTGCGGTGACTGCGACGAGTCCAAGGAGAAGGGCGCGAGCGAGAGCCGTTAAGCTGCTTGTTGGTTGTCCCGGGCGACGGTGATGGCGATGGTGGTGGCGGGAATTTCTGACTCGGGGCTGGAGTTTGGGAGTTAGCAAAGGGGGGAAGGGGAGGGGTTTCACCGTTACGTTCGCGTGCTTGGGGGATGCATGGACGTAAATTAAGGAAGAGTTTCTCAGCTCGGGCGATCTCGTCAACCTGAAGCTCATTTTTCATCCGAGAACGGGAATTGAAAACGCTGATCTCTCTCTCTCTCT